CTTTCTATTTGATTAAAAAAGAAAGTAAATGTGTCATACATATATAAGCACACTTATCGGTTTAACAATCAAATTAATAAACTTAATGAATGACACAAAATCTATCCCTGATAAAAAAAAAAAGTCATGGTTTATTTTTCATTCGATCTCGACATTTCTTTTTTTCAGTCGTTTATTCTCATTTCGACTATATAAAGATAAAGAGAGCAAAATGATCGTTTGCGCAATTTCTAATCGTGATCGTTTTCACACAAATTAGTCTGCTATTTATCTATTTCACGCGCACGCGTAAATATACGCGTGCACGCACGCTTCGTGTAGAAAGCTGTCACGATAGAGTGTTTTAACCTCCATGTTTAATTGTTCGTGCGTGTCAAGAAAAAATGAAAGCGACAGCACGAAGGCATCGCGATTAAATGAATGAGAAATATCTTACGCGTCGAGTATATAAATTTCTCGTTTTTTGTTGAGCATATCTTTTTAGATCGGAATTTTTTCACGGAAATTTTCTGAGCGCGAAAATACGATCATTGAATCTCATTTATTAAAAATCTGCGATTGTTTTTAAATAAGCTACACATTATATATACCTTGCGTACCTCAACATGACACCATAGAAAATCTCTCTTCGAAGAGAAACCATAAAATCTACATCCCTCCAATATCAAAATTATCAATTAATTCCAGCTGAACTTTCCAGAGGTTGCGGAGTCATCGTGGATCTCTCTCTTTCTTTCTATCTCTTAGAAACATTCCATTAATTCGATATTCGCAGTTTGTTTGCTTTCGGAGTATCTCTCGTTTACCTTTGCCAGAATTTAGATTGGCCGTAGCATCTCGATAGAATTAGCGTCGACGCCGAAGCGTCACTCGAGCAGTACTTTTCTCGCGTGTTATCAGAAACGGAAAGTCTCGGGCACACATCGTGATTAATAGTTTCAGATGACATTCGCTGTCAAGTATGAAGGCGAAACATCATTGCCGCGCGATCTCACGCGGCACTACTGACAGATGACAGAGCGGACTACGAAAAGTCATGGAACCGGATAGCAAATAGAACCGTTTGACAACTCCAGTCACTGCGCCGTATGCATAGATGATATAAGAAAATAGATAGCTAACTATATTTCGCTTTGGAATAGTGTTTTTAGCGCCATCTGGGCGGATACACATGAGTGAACTAAGGCTTGGAGCACATACTTTTGCATAAGCGCATAATCATAAGCATAAGGAAATTGATTGGTCCATTTCCTTATGCATATACTTATGGACCAATCAATTTCCTTATGCTTATGGTTATGCGCTTATGCAAAAGTGTGTGCTCGAGCCTTAAGCCTATCACACACAAATCGGCATAACTGCATATGCATAGCATAAGACCGTCTGGACCAATGAGCATCGAAATAAAATCGCCATATTGATTTACATAGCATGCTCATTGGTCCAGATAGTCTTATGCTATGCATATGCAGCTATGCCAATTTGTGTGTGATAGGCTTTAGAACATATATAAATGGAAAGGGAATGCCTTTGTTTCCCGATAGAAAAACATGTCGGAAGGAAGTAAGAAAGAAAATCATAGTTGCCTCTCTCTTGTGAGTTACTTTGCTCAAAAGTGCGCATGCGCGGCCATGTGTGTGTACACAAAAGTATGTATACTACAGACACGATGCTTGTATGTGTAGTTACTCACAAGAGAGAGGCAACTACGATTTCTTTCTCACTTCCTTCGACACTTTTCAGCCTGCGATTTCCCTTCCATTTATACAGGGTGTCCCAAAGCACCCTTGACAACGCTCGTGAGCACGTAGAGCAGTAAACTGAACAGATAAGTCCTGTACCATTTTACGTTGACTGAAGTTTGAAATTACGTACGAATTTAGGTTTAGAATCAGTACTTAACGTAATGTAATGCATTACGGAAAAGCTTGTGCGGTGACCCTAATAGCGTTTTCGAATGTATCGTTCAAGCACCGACGAGATACTATTAAAGACCGTCAGCCCTGGGTAAACTTTTGTGACCATCAAATGGGCCCGGTGGGCCTGGAGGTAATTGAAGAATGTTGACATTACCGGCCGTTTGATAGGATCGAAGATAATTACACGAATTATTAAATTCATACGGTTATTTTACATCATCCAGTTATTATTTTATTATCGAAAACACCGACGAGATATCATTAGAGATTGATGGTCTTATAGGATTTAGCAAATTACTGGTAAAAAACTCGCCACGCGATACTGTACCCAGACAGCACAAGGATGTCCTTAGGACGTCCAAAGGGCATCCAGGACATACATGTAGGATATCCTGAGGATATCCTATTGTAATCCTCGGATCTCCTCTGGATATCCTGAGGAAGAGTAAATGATAGCCATACACTAGCCTCTGGAGAATCCAGGGAAATCCTGTGGAACATCTTAAGGATTTCTATAGGATATGTTAGGGATATTTTTCATACGTTAAAAGGAACAAATTCTAAAATTTAAATATAAATTAAGATTGCGTTCTGTTATTTACTGCCAATACGAAAAATCTAATACTAAAAATAGTTCACGTTCTTTAATATTTGAGGTTTTCGTGCTGTACATAAATATTTTAGGTTTGGCTTCCGGGTTTAAGTCGTGTAATATTTTCAAAACAATCCAATATCTGAATTCCCTATGTTGGGATTGCATCAGAAAAATTGAACTGATAAAAAATAATTATATTTTTAATTTCCTGTTAGTTGCTCTTTACAAGCTTTATATAATTCTCATGACCAAATCTCAAATACGAGTTCGCGCGTCGCATAGCGGTAAACAAACGAACTAGCGGTTGAATACTATTTTTTGTAAAGTTTTTGGAATGTTGCGCATAGTAACATTTCTCATGAAATATTAAATAAATAATAATTTTGAATATATGAAAATGTGCGCATCAAATTCAATTATTAATATTAAACGAAATTAATGTTAACAATTAATTGCACATGTATATGTCCTCTGGAAATCCAAAGGACATTCAATATAATAGACAGGGCAGATATCCTACAGACATCCAGGGGTTATCCAATGGACATTTATAGGACATTAATACTTATTACAATACTTAAAATTTCTAAATTATATTAAATAGCCTACATAACCGAAAGTAATCATGTATGCATATTAAATTTTCATAAAATATATTTATAATAATATCTTAAAACATCCTACAAATATCCTGAACCATCCTAGACATATTCAGGATGATCCTGAAGACGTTTTGTGCTGTCTGAGTAGGTAAGTAAATTATTGCATTGTCGATAATAAAACAGTAAATTTACGATAAAATATTTATTTTGTTATTCTTGAGGCAGTTATATAAAAAATCTATACATTTTTGATAATAAAACAATAACTAGATGAACTAAAATAACGCGCAGCGAGTTTTTTTTTCAGTCACACTAAATTCCATAAGACCATCGGTCTTTAATGATATCTCGTTAGTGGTTCAGGGTACCGATCATGTAACTTTTTCTCTAGGGCGGAAAAATGAAAAGTGAAAAATAGCTCTATAAAGTTAGCCGATCAGCACTCACAATTATAATTTTTTTTTTACGAATCGTTTGTTGATCGTTTGTTGGTGATGGACAGCATGAAAAATACAGGTATGCAACAAAAAATCTGTATATAAATAATAATGTAATTCTAATGCCCGGTCTACAATGGTCGTTAGTCGTTAGTCGCAAGCAAATTGACCAACCACAGTCGATTATTCCTAGAATAGTCTGATTGGTCAAATTTCAATCTCAATGCATAGTCTGATACGGGCTTAAAGGCTGGTTTATGCAGGCCGTAACTGTTAATTTATGCCGGAACCGTTAAAGTTTAACACTAGGATTACAATGCTTTTGTTCATAATGGCATTATGTTTAGTATTAGATTTTTAGTATTAGCAGTAAATAACAGAACGCAATCTTAATTTATATTTAAATTTTAGAATTTGTTCCTTTTAACGTATGAAAAATATCCCTAACATATCCTATAGAAATCCTTAAGATGTTCCACAGGATCTCCCTGGATTCTCCAGAGGCTAGTGTACGGCTATCATTTACTCTTCCTCAGGACATCCAGAGGAGATCCCTAGATTATCAGAGAGGCGCCAACTTGTTCCACTTTCTGATTGGTCGATTAAAATAGCCGCCATGTTAGAATACAAACGTCACACGTACAGCCTGACAGCTGTCAATCAAATGTGGTTGTGTTAATATTAAAAGTTTAAATAAGTGCATATTATAATTTCTTGTTACCACGGTAAGTAGAAATGTCTTATATATGTTATATATGAAGAAATTAAGCTGCACATATTTAAAACATATATATGTGTATATATGTGTACATATACAATATATATATATAAGCACTACTGACGTTTGTGTCCTAAGATGGCGGCGGTGGCATGGTGGGGGTAAAGTTGGCGCCTTTCTGATAGGATTCTAAAATTAGGTTTTTTATAATTAACAATTTTAGTTTAGTCATGATATCAACCAATACTTTTTAGTAATAAACAGATTTTATGATAATTGATAACTGTAATCGACAGGAAATCGTTTGTGATTTACAAATATACCAATGTTACATTTGTGAATTGATAAATTTTTTAATTACGTGCAAAATAAGTTTATTTTATAATTGTAGTGCGCATGCGCAAAGTCTGCTCAGACTTTGAGACGTGTGACGATTTCCGCCACGCGTTATGGCCCTCGCACACTGGATGCGATGAGCGATGCGCGATGGGCGATATCCAATGAGAGCTTTATTTTTTCGGAAAACCAGAGCTCTCATTGGATATCGCCCATCGTTTATTGCTCATCGCGTTCAGTGTGCGAGAGCCATTAGGTGATATTACATTTGTCGTACGACAAACTTTTTAAGCGCATTGATTAGCTAATTTCTAGAGACTCAAAAAAGTTTCTATTTTGCAGCCAATCAACATGCATAAAAAGTTTGTCGTACGACAAATCTAATATTATCCTTATCCTTAGCCCAGATCTATAATAGGTGTAGTACGCATCAAGCCAGGGGCGATACGTGGCATCCCATCCTTCCCACATGCCTCAAAACAGGTTTTCATACATATATACCTATATAGTACCATGATTTACTTTCTCCTATCTTATTCCTACTTTAACCAGTTGTTGGCCGGAATTTACTGATCGATTCCTCAGAACAGAAGTGGCCATACAAAAGAAAGAAGAAGAAGAAGAAGCATCAAGCCATAAGAAATTGATTAATCACAGTTAAATGTAAGAAAAATAATCAATTGTTTTTATTTTTATTTTCTAATTATTAATCCGCGCCTTACGGCTTTGGATGACTTCCAGTTTTTACATTTGTTATTCTCCCAGTGAGCAATATGTTATCAAAAGAAATTCATAAAGTACTCAAGTTTAAGAGTCGGACTTCCGAAAACACCATCAAAATGATAATATTATGATATCAGTATGTCCTCCAATGCGTCGATTTTAGAGAAAAGAATGACACCATATAATTGACATTTAAAAGAATTCCACAATCTGACTTCTTTTAAATATCAAAAAAATGTCACCGTTAAGAACTGTTCTATTTGTAGTATTATATTTTTGGGCGAGTTTTTTAATTCATCGGTTGATCAATCGCATGATGCGCAAGTACAGTAAAGTCCTGTATTTGCTACATTTGTGCATCATGCGATTGATCAATCGATGAATTAAAAAACGCCCTTTTTTGAAGACATAACCCAACCCCAACTTCTTAGGTTGTCATAATTAAAATTTAAATTAAAATTAAATTAAAACTTAAAACTTAAAACTTAAAACTTGAAATTAATTAACATTAAAATTAAAACTAAAACTAAAATTAAAATTAAAATTAAAATTAAAATTAAGATTAAAATTAAAATTGAGATAAAATATACAAAAAGCCAATAACTCCAAATTACTAAAATCAGACAAATTAAAAATTAACAATTATGGGTGACTGTTAGACTTGGTGATTTGTTACTTCGTCACTAATATCGATATTTCGTGTATCATATCAACGGGATAGAGAAATAGCACAATTGTTAATCCTTTGATATTATTTTATTAATGCAATTTACAAAAAAAAGACAAATACAAGAGTTATTATTTATTTATTAATTATAATATCCCACTCGGCATGTAATATTGCTGAAATACTGTAATGTTCGGAAAGGGTACAAAAATATTTCATTAATATTTCAATTGTAACTTTGCCTCCGAAATATTTCAGAAATGTACCTGCATTATGTTTTTTAAAATATTGCATTTGTAATATTTTTGAAATCTTTCAGAAAGTCCTTTTGTAACTAAAGTACAGCAAAGTCCTGTATTTGCTACATTTGTGCATCATGCGATTGATCAATCGATGAATTAAAAAACGCCCTTTACATTTTTTGATAACCCAACTTCTTAGATTGGATATAGAAATAACAAAAATATATATGAAAATATTAATCTATTTTATGCTCAAATACATATTTAATAATATTTATAATTTAAGAAAGAACGATTATCTTAAAAACGTTAATATTGAAGAAATGTTATCTCTTTGAAATCCAGAGCACGCAGTGGCACGCAGTTCACACTAGACACAGGGTCTCTAGTTTACATGTACGTTGCTTGTGCATGTGTGCGGCTTTCGTAAAATATCTTAAATGGCACGCTTGCTAGAGACTTTACAGATATCTATGAAGAGATATCATAAAGAGCTCTTGTGAAAGATATCTTACAAAAAGATAACTTACTGATATCATTTCTAAGAAAATTTAATTAAAGGCTGGTTTATGCAGGCCGTAACTGTTAATTTATGCCGGAACCGTTAAAGTGCTGAAATACTGTAATGTTCGGAAATGGTACAGAAATATTTCATTAATATTTCAATTGTAACTTTGCATCCGAAATATTTCACAAATGTACCTACATCATGTTTTTTAAAATATTGCATTTGCAATATTTCTGAAATCTTTCAGAAAGTCCTTTTGTAACTAGTATTAAAATTATAGTTTATTTGCTATAATGTACCGCTATGCGGCGCGCTATTCACTATCTATTCCCGTATTCAAATTTTTGTCATGAGCGTATATAAAGCCTGCAAAATGCGATTAATGATATTGTAATTATTTTTATCGGTTTAATTATTGATGCGATTTCCGTACCGGGAAATGCAGATATTGAACTGATTTTTAGAAAATCGGACAGCATTTCTAAGAAAATTTAATTAAGTCTTTAAAAAGTCCTCTTAAAGAGCTCATCCTCTCAATCATGCTCACTGGGCTGTCTTTGAGTGTTTGTGTCTTGTGTTTCTTTTGTGTTTTCACAATAAATTGATAGTCAAAAATTCTTAAGATTTAACATATTTGAAATCCAAAAATCAAAACTCAAAATTGAAGTCATAATTAAAATTTAAATTAAAATTAAATTAAAACTTAAAACTTAAAACTTAAAACCTTTGTACAAAAATATAAAACCAGATATAACAAAATAAATTAATTGTTAGAAATATAAAACATGATTAGTAGTAGAAAAAGTATACAATAATTTACTTAACATAAACAATAACTAATTTCGATATAAGATTTTATTTAATATAAACTGTAATATAGGTTCATAATTAAATTTTTTATATGAATATATAAAATGCAGAGATTGGAACGTTACTTTATAAAAGTAACTCGTTACCGTTACCGTTACTTTCTCTGAAAAACATCTCGTTACCGTTACTCGTTCCCGTTTTAAAGAATAACTCGTTACCGTTCCCGTTACTCAAAAACTAACGAATCGTTACTATTTCCGTTACTTTGTTTATAATATATTAATTCGATACTATATAATATATTAATATTAAATTAGTATATTATAATTAATACTAATATAATATATAAATTCTTAATATTAATATAGAAATACCAAGTTTACATTTTTATACTTCTTTATTAATTTATAATATATATAAACCATAAACTTGTAACGGTTCACCTTTCCCGTACGCCGCGGATCAAGGCTCGCCGGTGCCAGGATTCGGGAGAAGGGGGAAACTCCAACTTTTATTTAATATAAACTGTAATATAGGTTCATAATTAAATTTTTTATATAAATATATAAAATGTAATATATGTTATATATTATATTTTTATATATTTTTATTTTGTATTTGTATATGTATATAATATAAATCGTTGTTTTTCAAATATATTGTGGTTTTAGACTTTAGATTATAATTTAATTTGATTACGTTATAGCCTAAAGCTGAAAGCCAAATAAGCATTGGTTATTGCCAAAAACCAATAAGTTTTAAGTCTCGCGTAAAGCTAAAATAATATTTAAATAGGAAAACTGGCAGATAAGAGCAATTTGAAATTTGACTGCAACTGTAAATATTGTGTATGTCAAGTTTTAAAATTCCAATTTAATATATTTATATCCATGCCAAAGGTGGACCAAAAGACGGTTCAAAACGTACATTTTTAAAGCACATTATTTAATAAAATTTCACAATAATAAGTTCGACACCTGCGCCTTGGCTTTTATCTAAGGTTAGTTTTCCTACTTAATTGTTCTTACTCTGAACCTATTGCTGTTATTATCAAAATTGAAACAAAACATTAATGTGTTATAACTAATGTGTCTTATTTCAGTATGTAATCCTTATATGTTCTTGCATTACATTTATTTCCATGTTATTATTTTTATATTAGATGTATAAAATTGAATTTGTATTAAAAAAGCAATTCTGTACATACAATATATTTTTATAAGATCATAATTTATTTTTTTTTACAGGATTGTGTGATGATATTCAAGATAATTCCATTTTGCGAAGAGGTATTCCTGTCGCTCATTCTGTTTATGGAATTGCTAACTCACTAAGCGCTGCAACTTATATATTATTTATTGCTTTGGAAAGAGTTGTTAATTTGCATCCTGCAGTAAGTAATCACATTATACTTATACAAAAAGGTTGAAAATAAGAAATCTCTTATTCTCTTTTCTAAATGCTCAAATAATGTTTTTATAAAATACAAAATTCAAATAAACTGCTTGAATTATGTCCATGACATCATACATACCCACTCGGCATGTAATATTGCTGAAATACTGTAATGTTCGATATTCTGCGTCACTTGGACAAATAAGATTGTCCCGCCAAGAAATTTCCATTCCTTGTCCTCTGAAAACTTCCAACATTTGTTCCACATACACTTATGTCGCCTGAAAAAAACGCGGTAAAATAACTTTTGTATTTGTTTTTAAAAAATAAAGCTCTCATTGGATATCGCCCATCGCTATTTATATTTTTTAGACTCATTTATAAATGGGTCTAAAAAATATAAAATGCAAAGACTCCAGAACTATTTTTCATTTTATAGTTATTTGTTGAAAATATATTATTTATATAGTATTAAATAATTAGAATAATTAAATAAAATTGATATGATCGAGTTTTTAGTTGAAATTTGGCTGAAATTCCAATTTTGTTTTGGAAAAAATATTTGTTTACGAGTGGATCCCATTGTAATCCCAAAATTTCCTTTATGGTTCCACATTCTACATATTTGTGAATTAATAAATTTTTTAATTACGTGCAAAATAAGTTTATTTTATAATTGTAGTGTGCATGCGCAAAGTCTGCTCAGACTTTGAGATGCGTGACGATTTCCGCCACGCGTTATGGCCCTCGCACACTGGATGCGATGAGCGATGAGTGATGGGCGATATCCAATGAGAGCTTTATTTTTTCGGAAAACCAGAGCTCTCATTGGATATCGCCCATCGTTCATTGCTCATTGCATCCAGTGTGCGAGAGCCATTAGGTGATATTACATTTGTCGTACATCATCTATTGTAGACCGGCATTAATAATTAATAAATAAAAATAAAAACAATTGATTATTTTCCTTACATTTGACTGTGATTAATCAATTTCTTATGGCTTGATGCTTACTACACCTATTGTAGATCTGGGCTAAGGATAAGGCCGATATTACATTTGTCGTACGACATATTTTTTAAGCAGGTTGATTGGCTGCAAAATAGAAACTTTTTTGAGTCTTTAGACATTAGCTAATCAATGCGCTTAAACAGTTTGTCGTACGACAAATGTAATATCACCTAATGGCTCTCGCACACTGGACGCGATGAGCAATGAAAGATTGAAATTTTCCAATGAGAGCTCTGGTTTTCCGAAAAAATAAAGCTCTCATTGGATATCGCCCATCGCTATTTATATTTTTTAGACTCATTTATAAATGGGTCTAAAAAATATAAAATGCAAAGACTCCAGAACTATTTTTCATTTTATAGTTATTTGTTGAAAATATATTATTTATATAGTATTAAATAATTAGAATAATTAAATAAAATTGATATGATCGAGTTTTTAGTTGAAATTTGGCTGAAATTCCAATTTTGTTTTGGAAAAAATATTTGTTTACGAGTGGATCCCATTGTAATCCCAAAATTTCCTTTATGGTTCCACATTCTACATATTTGTGAATTAATAAATTTTTTAATTACGTGCAAAATAAGTTTATTTTATAATTGTAGTGTGCATGCGCAAAGTCTGCTCAGACTTTGAGATGCGTGACGATTTCCGCCACGCGTTATGGCCCTCGCACACTGGATGCGATGAGCGATGAGTGATGGGCGATATCCAATGAGAGCTTTATTTTTTCGGAAAACCAGAGCTCTCATTGGATATCGCCCATCGTTCATTGCTCATTGCATCCAGTGTGCGAGAGCCATTAGGTGATATTACATTTGTCGTACAATAAACTTTTTAAGCGCATTGATTAGCTAATTTCTAGAGACTCAAAAAAGTTTCTATTTTGCAGCCAATCAACATGCTTAAAAAGTTTGTCGTACGACAAATGTAATATCGGCCTTATTCTTAGCCCAGATCTACAATAGGTGTAGTAAGCATCAAGCCATAAGAAATTAATTAATCACAGTCAAATGTAAGGGCCGCAGAATCGGGCCGAAATGTGCAACTAAATCCGAGCACTGTACCACAGTATATACAGTAGCGCAACTCCCTGTCGGCACCTTTGATGTTATTGTTGGCCAAAACGGAGTGCGCATGCGCGAAATAAGTAAGTTGGTCGGTAACGCCATCTGAA